CACTACACTACCACCACCACCACCACCACAACTACCACCACCTACTACCATAACTACCACCACCACCACAACTACCATAACTACCACCACCACCACCACCACCATAACTACCATAACTACCACCATAACTACCACCACCACCAACTACCACCATAACTACCACCACCACCCACCATAACTACCACCATAACACCACCACCACCACCATAACTACCACCACCAACCACCACCACACCACCAACACCACCATAACTACCACCATAACTTACCACACCACCACCAACTACCATAACTACCACCACCAACTACCCACCACACCATAACTACCATAACTACCATAACTACCACCACCCACCACCAACTACCACCATAACTACCACCACCACCACCAACTACCATACCACCACCACCACCACTACTACCACCACCACCATAACCACCATAACTACCACCACCACCACCACCCACCACCATACCTGCCCCAACTTCTACCACCACCACCATCACCAACACCACCACCACCACCACAACCACCAACCACCACCACCCTTAACTACCACCTTCTACCACCACCACCTTACCACCACCACCACCGCGCCTTCTCCACCACCACCATAACTACCACCACCAACTACCACCACCATAACTACCTCCACCACCACCACCACCACCACCATAACACACCCACACCACCACCACCACCATAACCACCACCACCACCAACCACCCACCACCACCACCACCACCACTACCACCACCACCACCATAACCACCACCTACCACCACCATAACCACCACCACCACCACCTCACCCATCCCCACCCACCACCACCACCACCACCACCAACACCACCCACCACCACCATCCACCACACCTGCACCATCCCCACACCACCACTCCAAGTGATTGATAAACCACCTCAAAGGATATAGACACTTGTAGTTAGATTCCCAGGATGCACTTGACCAGTACACAGTAAGTCTCAATACATCCTGTCATACGAAGAAGTCCTGAATGTGTTGAGTGAGAGTCTATGAGTCTACTAAAGGATAAATGTGTGTGTGTGTGTGTGTGTGTGTGTGTGTGTGTGTGTGTGTGTGTGTGTGTGTGTGTAGAGTGAATGGTTGTGGGTATTGAGGACAAGGTTTCTTTACGCCATTTTGCCTCTGTCTACCCAGCAGTAGTTGGGGACCTGGATGTTAATCGTGTTTCGGGGTAATGGTTAGCCAGTGCAGTTGGCAGAGTTGTCCGGTCTTCTCGGACTTCCTTGACACTACATCTCTCAAATTCCTCTGAGGGTGGCCCTTGGCGGCTATCCTCAATTGAGGGGCCACCATTATTAGTATTTGCATCTTTATTGATGATTAGTGCGTGATATTAAAGGTATTTTAAGTCCAAGTGTTGATTGGCATATTTACAGGTTTTTCATCAAGGTGCTGAGATTGGTCCTTAGTGCAACCTCAAGTGTCAATCAGTATTACATTTGAAGCTAACCTTATTTTATTTCCTGTTCCCTTAGGGTCAAATAAGTGGTGTAAGTCAATCCTTTTGTCCTTAACTTTCAACCCCATCTGTGTTGAATATAGAATACGTATATATTTGCCAGTCATTAAATAGACGAATTTATACTGGGAAATTCCCCAACGACGTGAAATTTAATGGCCGAGAGGAAGGCGATATATTCCCGTCTGCCCTCGTGATGGGCTGAGCAAGGTAAAGACTGCTGAGGACTGTCCCTTGCTGATGCTCTACCGACTCGGTCCCTCCTGATTAAGGGGAGCTTGTTGAGGGAGTCGAGACGAACCGAATAACATCGTTGCTGCAGACTGCGGACAGACAAACAGATATACTTCTGCGGACGGGCAAACGAATGCCATGCAGACATACCCGGACGAACCAAACAGATAACCTGAAGACATACGGACGAATAAACGAATCATCATCAGACATTCGGACAGACAAACGGAGTATGTCGGAGCGATTCGGACGAACAACGGAATGCCATCAGACATTTGGACGAACCAACGATTTATGCAGACATGCGGACAGACAAACGGGTGTGCCGGGCGAATGGTATAAATAGACGAATGCAAACAAAGGGATCGTGCAGACGGACAGAACAGACACATTCCGTAGGACAGACAGACAGACAGAGTCTTAAGTCGTTTCTCACAAATAAACTATACTTGTTGTTTCTGTATATCAGTCTCCTAATGTTTTATAAACTGCCAATCTTTACCGACTACCCCTGTACCCCCAAGTTTCCTACACCATTCTTTTCGCGCAATTTACCACCACCGTGCGACTTCCCGCTGTTTATGGAATCTTCTTTTCCAGCCTACAACTTCTTCTGTGTTTACAACTATCGTCCCGCACATACTGGTGGCACTCGTTTAAACGTCCATCAATTAACCAGTTTTCATAACGAACTTTTCAAAGCTGCTTTGAGGGTCTGCCGTACAAACTGCCTCTTTACCTTGCATAATACCCAACTTATCAGTTCACTAATGTTTTAAACTGGCAATCCTCCTTCCTTCGTCTCGTGAACATCCCGGTACTACTTTCTTATAAATTTTCCAAACTGGCAGTACCTGGAGCCAGGTATCGTGTCCCCTATGGTAGAAATTTCCATACTGAGTGTGTCGTAAACTGGTAAACTGCTCTCACTTCATCTTGATAACTGCCGGGTGCCGCTCTCTTGACGCTGCGCCGCTAAACAACTGTGCAGCAGCTTTTTAATTAACTGTTCATCACTGTGCCGTGCGAGAAGATTGAAGAGATTTGTGTTGTAAATAAGTGTTTCTGTAATATTTATGTGAACGTTTACGTGAATGTTAAGTCATCATTTCTGTATACATGATTAATTCACTTACACATAATTACCTACCATTGGCATCAGTGGCCATTACTATTTTTAATCTTTGCTTTTATTTTTATTTTTCTTTAATAATATAATTTATGGCGATATTCGCTGTATTTATAGAGTTTGTTGTTCTGGTACCAAATCATATTGAATATTTTCCCAGATGTTAAGTGTTCCACGGAGATAATGTTTAGTGTTCAGGAGCAATACCGTAAC